TTTGAAATTTCCGTGACGTCACTTCCGGTGACTTTAAACTCGAATTACTCGAAAACGGTAAAAGATAAACCCATAAAACTATATATTTTCTTAATCAGCGCGACGAGACGAATCGATTGGTAAAAAGTTCTAACGTTTTTATTGACTTTCGCAATTTAGGGTTTAAAATCGCTCTTGCGTCATAACTCAAAAACGGCTGAAAATCGAATCGAGAACCCCGGGTCAAAACGAAAGCTTTCGGTTTATTCTATCTTATAACGACTTTATCTCAAAAATTTTGAGCGTAAACGGTTGCCCAAACGATAAAAAACCGGTTTATAGCTTAAATGTATTATAAATCTCATTCAAAATCAGTTTACAACTTTCTTATACATAAGTTATTCATTTAAAATTTATTTTTGTATAAAAAATAAGAATCTGAAGTGTTCATAAAAATCACAAACTTTGACCAGTTGCTAAGGGCAACCGTGTTTAAAATATGCAATCAGTTTACCGTAGCATGCACTTAAAAGGAACGGTACAATATATAAAGTGTTAAAATATGTTAATGCATGCGTAGCAATTTCTCGTTAATAAGTTTTTACTTAATGGTCGCTGCATTTAAAAGGATAAGATTAATGAAAAGCTATATTTAGTAACGAAGGATAAAGGGTTTTTGTTCAACATAGTTCCGCTAGGTATTGTAAATCTAGACTAAGTGGCGACTGTACTTGACGGTCGCTGCGTTTGAAAGGATAATAGATTCTTTTGTGATTAATGAAAAGTTATATTTAGTAACGAAGGATAAAGGGTTTTTGTTCAACATAGTTCCGCTAGGTATTGTAAATCTAGACTAAGTGGCGACTGTACTTGACGGTCGCTGCGTTTGAAAGGATAATAGATTCTTTTGTGATTAATGAAAAGTTATATTTAGTAACGAAGGATAAAGGGTTTTTGTTCAAAATAGTTCCGCTAGGTATTGTGTGAATCTAGACTGAGCGGCGACTGTACTTAATGCCTTTTTCTTTCATTGACACCCGCGTGGGGCTGATGAAATAGCTCCTGGTGGTTGTGAAATACCGCGACTAAAAATAGATCATGCGCAGTCTACAAGAACGTTACGCTATGACAGTCATTCCCTTACTAAATGTAGGTAAGTAAACGAGTTATATTTGTATCAATATTATTTTGAACATATTTAAAAAAAAAAACTATTTGTTTTTTTATTTATAAATTAAGCACGTATCTATTTAGAAACATTTCTTTTATCTTTCATGATGTTAATTATCTCTCCGTTTAGGGCCGAGGACCTGACCCTCAATGTCCACGATTCAAGCCCTAAGATCGGTTTCGTTTTATATATTTATTTTTGCATCAATATAGTTTTTTTTTTTTAAATAGGTTCAATTCGTGTATGGATAAATCTATATGATATTTAAATATGTTATAATTACTTTTTTATTATAAACAATTCATTTACTTATACTACTTGATACGTTTTGATAATAAGATAAATTTTTTATTTCTTTGTTTTATCTTGTCATCTCTCCGTTTAGGGCCGAGCACCTGACCCTCAATGTGCGCGATTCAAGCCCTAAATCGTGTATACGAGTCAGCTCCGTATACTTCCGGGAGATTAAAAATAGAACGATAATGTCATTCTAAAAATAGACGGATGATCACATTCTTAAAATAGAACGATGATGTCATTCTTAAAATAGAATCCAATATGGCGTCGCGCATGCGCAGTCGTGATGCCAAAGAGACGCCTATACTACTTCTATGAATAATTTTCTCACACCAAAGAAAAGGACTGACCAATTTAGTGTTAAATTTAGACCGTCTTATAACCGGTCCGTCTTATAGGCAGGTAAATACGACATGGTATTTTGCAGGTCTGACACAAGTAAGATAAACTTCAATGCATATCTGAGACTATAAATGTAGAAGAACACATTACATCAACAATGATCGCGTGTTTCTACCGTTATTGACTAATGTTAATTATACATTATCTGTACAGTATACCCATTCGAACGAATGAAAATAATGTACTATTTAACTAGGTGAATTTTTTTAGCAAAGCAAAGAAGACAAAGCACATGAAGAAACACATAATTAATATAACGTGGTACTTGTATGTTTCGGTAATCGAATCAGGAACACGTGATTTGATCACTAGATTTGCACCACTTCCTGCATAAAAACGACCGTTGCTATTGACTACAAAACAGCTAAGGACGTGTTATTTTATTATGTTAAACTCATGTATGTTTTACTGCTTGCACAAAATTAATTATTGCAATTGAATAACAGAAAATCAGAACAGAACACGCGAATGTATCACAGAATACTGGTATAATTTATTCCTTGTACAGAATTGCTCGATGCAGCGGAATACATGGAATCTAAAAGCACGTGATTTTATCACGTGGAACTCGTGTGTTTAATTCCTTGCACAATGGCGATGATTACAATATAAACCAATATACCGAGAACACAAGTAACAAATATGAGGAAACGAGCACGCCCTCTATACCGTGTCCATGAATGAAAGTCACCTGTTTCGTAAGCTTTCTGTGCCTGGAATGTAACGGAGTAATACTATTTCTAAAAGATAAACAACAACATTAAATAAACAATGCTTATGATCAGAATACATTGGACTTAGTTATAATTAACATTACAAAATGCAGTTATTGTAATTCATCATAATCATTTCCTTGCTGTTGTTTTTGTTTTTGTTGTTGGTAATTAAGTCACGCTGAATACTGTCACTCTCATGTAGCTTCATTTTTGACGTCACTCCAATTACCAATAGCTTCCTCACAAGAAAGAAACCGACCTCTAAGAGAATTCGAACGGACACATTTGGGTGTGGTCTATCCAGAAATTCTGGCCGTTGACTTATTACATTCTTAGCATCCTTAGATATCTTTAGTAGTTATAACAAACACCATGACAACATGCCAGTAACTTAACTTCAATCATTGTATACAACTTAAACACGTTATTTACTTATGTTTCATGAGAAGTAGGTTCTTTATACAAATGCTTCAAAATTCCAAGCTATTATCTGCTTACTTTTCTTGCATAATATAATGCAATTAACCCAGTGGGTAAAAAGCAGAAAACTGTACTGGCAATTGCGGGAACCACCCAGCTCCGAGGTCCTTGAAGTTCATCTAAAACCTCTTCTTCACCGTACGCATCGTAGTTTATAGACGGTAAATCGGACACCTAAAAATTCAAAAATAAAAGAATTAAAATGTGTACACTTTTGTATGCCTTATGGTGTTTAGCATGATTATGTACAGCTGCGATAATGTTCCGAGGACATATTCGAAACATCAGTTGCAAACATGTTTGGAATAATATACACGTCAGAGATGCTACTACCGTAAGCGACAAAATGGAAATATCTGACTGCAGAGTAGCGTTAACATAGAAGTTGATACATTGTGTCGATGTCGATACATGCACTTAAACTGGTAACATTTGTAATAAATAAACTATTGTTTATTGTTTATACATGTATAACCAAACAGTTATAGTAGTTAGAATTTTGAAACATTTAATGAACGGTCCCAAGTGGGGAGGGAATGTGTGGGAGGGCTGATATCAAGAGAACTCCTCCCTCCCCACATACACACTCCCGCCACTCTTTCTGTTCTGAATAATGTTGACAAAATATCGATAACACTCATGCTTTATGATGGGCACATGAAAACTCCAGAATACCATCTAGAAGAATAAAAAACTTCTTTCACATTACAAATAAGAAGAACTTTAGTATACAGAAACATCAATGGTGTACTGATCACCAATCTGACGTGTGAACATTTCGGTCATTTTATGAGCGTATATCATGTTTCATGCGGCTCAGATTTACTTATAGTGTAAAAATGTAGGACACTCTTTACATTATAACATCTATTTTTATATTGGTAAAAGTATTGTATGAACTAAATTAAACAACTACAGATGTTATTGTTCCTTTGTAAAATAATACAATTTAATCTAAACAAAGACTTATAAAAATGGTGAAATGGTCAAGGATTATGCCGAACCAACATTTTAGATAATATATGTCGAATTTCTTTATTAAAATACTTCATTTTTCAAGTACATGAAGGAACTCTGGTAGAAATACGATCATTACTTAAATATACAATGTATAACCATACATTTCGTTATTGCTATAACTATTATGTTGGCTTTAGAATTGTGAACATTATTATTGGTAAGTACTTTACTCACATGAAAGTATAAGGCATTGACTGACACATTTCATAGTTTAAATGTTTTAAGTTTAAAGCTCATATTAAGTTTATAACAGTTAAGGGTGTTCTTAGCTACACCTACCTCTGAGTTCGTGTGCCAGACTCCTTTATCTTTCTGTAAATGCCCATCTGTCATGATTGTTGATCTAATTTACATATCATTGATGAATTAAAGAAATAGACCATTTCACCAGCATTCTTTTAACTCATGTATTAACATATCTAAAACTGAAAAAAAATCTTATTGTATACTGGTGTAAGTACATAAAACACGGTTATCATACGATTACAAACACAACAAAAACAACGTATAACCACACGTGACTTGGCTACATCTCATTCTCATAAAGGTTCATTTTTTTTTTAAATAATATATATCTTCTATACAAATTTTAATGTTGATTTATCAAAATGCCAATCAGTAATATGGTCATAATTTTGTATGTCAAATAAAAATTATGAAAATAAAGAATCAAAATAGTGAAATAATTACCTGCTACAGTGTTATACTTGTTAATATCTATATTTATATAATCTTCAAAGTACATGTCCTACTTTGATTTAAACTCTTGCCATCCAAAGAAATATGACTTTATTTTCACACCGCTACGTAAATACTTGTCATGCGTAAAGTAAACACGAATATAGACGAAAGTTATATTTGGAACAGGATATGAAATAAAGGCCAGATGCATTAAATATAAAATGTACATCAATTTGAATTAATTATTCTCGTTTAAATGCAATTTATAATATGACAAAGCCGATATAAAAGCAAGTGTCATGAACTTAAAACTTCTTAATACATTTATAAATGAATTGATTTTCTATCTGTAAACGAAGAACGTAACAAAACACAGCGTAATTACCATTCATAAATTCATAAATTGTAAGTTTGACAGCAACACCGTCATAAAAAACAATCGAAGCATTTCGACTTTTTCCGTCAAACTTCGGTTATGTATCATCGGGAACGAATGAAAGGCGGGATGTTACGAATAAAATAACGAAACACTCTTATTCATAGTTATTACATTGTTTTAAATGTCATGCAATATCTATGGTTTCAGAATAACTTTTAGTTCAATTCTTTTGATAACCACTTTTCGATTTCTAATGCATTTATACTTATATTTTCGTCGATATCTGCACTATCCTGCATTTCTTAATGCAATAAAAACCTGGATAAAGGGTGATCCCTAGGAACAAATAACACGAAAATTGCAGACTAGGTTTGTTTGAGTTTGTACATGGGGTTTAATGAAAAAGTGCAATCCCTCACGCCCCATAGCAACCTGATTGAGCGGTACTCAATTTTCAACACTTAAAGGTGTTTACATAAAGTTATAAAGTTGCCAACAAGCTCCTTGGACTTAAATGGTCTTCATGTTTACATGCATGTACATACTCACTACTTTTAGGCTTGTTTTTTTTTTTAATTTTGATGACCTCATAATCTTTATCCTCTTTTCAGGCTTACTATTAAATCATTCAACTTAAAGATATTTATTTTTTTACATTAGAAAAAAAGAAACAACGACAACAACAAATCTGCATGTATTCTTCATTCTATTTTTTTCAGTTTAAATAAGGATTTTTATGTTTTCTAAAATATAAAAAACACAAAAGTCGAAAAAGGATAGCGAAAACATTTTGCTCTTTTATATGCAACGCTAATATATATCTGATCACAAAACCTGGAGACAAACACCTTTACCACTAGGATATTAACCATCATGTAATTTCACTCATATATAAAACAGACAGCTTTAGAAAAAGAAAATTAAATAAAGCAAACAAACTTTGCTTTGATTTTGTTTAGAATAAGTGTTTACGGTTACTTTGTACTAGAAAGACTAAAGACATTCAATGCTTGCAAAGTTCATATTATACATAAACATTATTAAGGCCTTCAATCAAGCTCTTATCATAATAATAGGATATGTGACGATAAGTATATATTAGTGAGATTTATCATTAGTGGACCCATATGTTATCCATCATGGATTCATATGGATTCAGATAACAACAAATAATATAAACCAATTACGTTATGGTAAGTTTTGAAAATATATAAAGAAAATCGGTATAGCATATATCTGACCATCTTCCAACACCAAAAGTAAACAGATGGGTTTTAATACGTACTTAAATTTGAAGTTTCTCTCGACGGGTTAAAAGAAAAGTCAAACTGGAAGTAAGTTAATTTTATTATTTTTTTTCTTTTGTAAATACTTTAAAATACGCAATAGAGACATGGTATTTCCTTTTCCTTGTATTATGTTGACATAACCATCTTTTTTAAACAATTAAAGAAAATGCGTTTTCTAATATTACATGAATAACAACTTCATTTCAACTAACCCAAAATGGAACCGGGTTGAGAGAAACTTTGCTGAAGCAAAACACCGGAAAATGTTGAATAGACTTGCGAATCACCATATATTACATGGTCAGAAATGATATTTTGGACAGCGACGTCATCCCCTTGGTGTAGGTAAACAATGATAGCTTGACTTCCTTGATCGTGGCGGCCATCCGTACCACGTGCGTATATTGATGCTTTCTTGTTACCATTTACAACAATCTGGCACCAAACCTCTCCATCATTAATGGACAAAATAGAAGAATAAAATAGGTAGAGACCAGATACAGGTGCAGTGAATACTCCATGGTGAGAATTGTAACCGTTTCCAATGTTAGTTTCGACGTGGTCAAATACTATGTTCTGGAAAGGGCCGGCATGAAATAAATGGTGTGTGAGACCAACTGTGAACGCAACCATTATTTCATTCTCTACTCGCCGAATTCTGTTGACTGAAAATTTTAATTGTACAGATATAGATTTGTAATAAGGCCAAATATAAATCTAAAAATCGTGACAAATGATATTAAATAAAAATACTGTACAGAGGTAATTGATTCGCGGTTTGGCTTTTGTGTTCGCTATATTCGCGGATATAAATCTATTTCATACCTTCATATTCAACTGCAATTTTCTGTTTCTTGTTTTCGTCTTTACCAGACGGAACAGATGGTACAGATATCGAATCACGTGAACCTGGCCCAGGAGACATAGAACGAAGTTGTACATGGCGTAGTAGCTTGGAAATAAGACGAGCTTGACCAGAACTTTTCTTTTGCAAAACCACAATTTGACCTTTGTGCTTTGCAAGTTCTTGCTTCAATCCGTCGATTTCAAGCTGGTGTTTAATTTCAAGTTCTGCGAGAGCTTTTATATGACCTTTCTCTCGTGATTCCATGTGGTCCATACGCTGTACCAGTTCTTGAATCATTGAGTTGGTCGCCAAGTTTTCATGACCGATGTTATCAAATAGTTCGTTTGCTGTACATGTCGTTATATAAGCAAATCCTACTATGCAGACAGCTAAGAAATACATCCTTTGTTTACAGGATATTTTACACAATGAAACAATATGAAGTTTAAATCTTACCTTATCAGGACAGTTTTTCTTCAGTTTTGTAGACAAAATCGTGTCATGTTAAAGAATCGTTGCTTTATTTAGAATTCTTCAAACTTGATAAACATCATGTAGTAAATTGTATAAATGTATAACCCATATTCCCCGTTTGCGATTGTTCATTTGTATCTTTAATCTATTGTTTACAATTACAGATTAAGAGTCCATTTAATACTAGTAAATTAAAAGAAATCGGACCATTCTTTAAATGATATAAGTCAATAAATGTAGTTACAGTTGGTGACCTTAATCATGTCGTATAAAAAGCTACAGAAAGTTCAGTTACATGCCTTTCAAACAAAAAGTTTTAACACTTTTGAATGAACCATGTGGACTTCTATAACTGTACATTATCTGCAATATATCAAACAATCAAGTTTGTTTTATACAGAAACGTACGTTTTTGGAGAAATAGAACCGTTTGTTATTATCAATACAGTTTGTAACTGGCGTATAACAGCTGAGGAATATCAAGTACAAATCACCGCATCTTGTGGAGGAAACATGCTCTCTCAAATTTAAATTTCTCTTTATCACTGTTCTAAAATAAATGGCAGTCATTTTTTAAGGTGAACGCAAATGAAAGCATAAAAAATTGATGAATATATGTCTTCTAAATATGCTATCTCAGTCATTAACCTGGCACGATTTGGCACATTAGGTTAAAAACAGCACCTATGATAAGGTGACATCTAAAACTTATGCTGTTTTTATGTTGTAGAAGAACCTGCAATCGGAGGATGTATTATATAGCTTTCTGCCTAATAAATTTTGCTCATATAACAATATGTGCAAGTGACCAGCTAGTTCATGACATCGGTCATGAAAACTTGGCGACCAACTCAAAGATTCAAGAACTGGTAGAGCGTATGAACGACATGGAATCACGAGAGAAAAGTCATATAAAGGCTCTCGCAGAACTTAAAATTGAACACCAGCTTGAAATCGACGGACTGAAGCAAGAACTTGCAAAGCACAAAGGTCAAATTGCGGCCTTGCAAAAGAAAAGCTCTGGTCAAGCTCGTCTTATTTCCAAGCTACTGCGCCGTATACAACTTCGTTCTATGTCTCCTGCCAAAGAATCAGGACCAGGATCGTCTGCTTCGATATCTGTACCGTCTGGTAAAGACGAGGACCCGAAACAGAAAATTGCTGAAAATACAGGTACTTATTTCACATAATTTATTATTATTTATGTGTAAATATAATGACTGTTAGTATATTTTTTGGATTATATATGGTGTATTTCAGTTAGAATCCAAGAAAAATGTGTACGTTGATTATGGTACATGCATGTTATTACCTAATAATTCTGTTGAAACTCATATTTAATTTTTGATAAAGGATTTGGGCCAGTCTGAAGTCAGTATATTCTCATGTATACTTTGTTTACTATCGACTATGTTATGCAAACTTGCTAAGAAATGTTTACCTTTGTTCTGATTACAAATCAATTCTATACAATTTACTTTTTTCAGTCAACAGAATTCGACGAGTAGAAAATGAGGCTACGGTTGCGTTCACGGCGGGTTTGACAGCTCCATTTTATCATGCGGGAGCACATCAGAACATAGTATTTGACCTTGTTGAAACTAACATTGGAAACGGTTATAACAGTCATCATGGCGTATTCATTGCTCCAGTTTCTGGTCTCTATCTCATATATTCTTCTATTCTCGCTGCGAATGGTGCTGAAATTTGGTGCCAGATTGTTGTAAATGGCGTGAATAAAGGATCAGTTTACGCACGAGGCACTGACGGTCGTCATGATCAAGGAAGTCAAGCTATTCTCGTACAACTACAGAAAGGGGATGACGTTGCCGTGCAAAATTTCTTCAACGACCATGCAGTTTATAGCGATGGTAATATCTACTCAACATTTTCCGGTGTTCTGCTTCAGCAAAGTCACTTCCAGGACAGCTCAGTCATTGGATAGCTGAAATAAAAAATTTTGAAAGTAGATCAATATTATGACATTACTCGAAGCTGTTTTGGCTTTTTTCTTTCAAAATGATAAAAATTAGCTACACATCAATCTTAATTTTGATTTGTAACCCTTACCGGTTAATATGTACTAATGATACCTGATACTTATGGACACATATTAAACGATAATATTAGGCTTTTTATTGCCACATATGTATTTTTGTTGTGAGTGACGGCCGTAAAAAGTCGTCTCGTATATAAAATCAAAGATGTTATATTTTCGATCGTTGAAGGGTGTTCTGCACGACATTATATTGCTGTGTAAATGTTTGTATTATTTTATGTCTATCTATTTGATCTTTTTTAACTTCTGTGGGTCCAGTATTCCTACTTGAATACTGTTTAATCACTCTAAGGATATGAAGCCTGTTTATTGTCTTTTGACGTCTTGTCTGAGATATGCAGACATCATAACCTCTGATTCCTTTCCAAAATTACATTTTTATTTAGTTCCACCCATTGTTTTCTCGTTACGGCCCATGCATCTAAAGTCAATTTGACTGCCTGTAAAATTTACAGGGAAGAACTGAATACAAGTATATGAAGAATTTTCATTGGTCAGGATAGTTCTTTAAATTTTAGTTTAAAAAGCTGAGATATTAACATAAAGTACTGTTTAACCATAATTCCTTCCACAAAACATTTTACACTGCGTTTATATCTCTTTTCATTTTCTAGTGAAGTTAATTTAAATAAGAATTTACTAGTATATTTTACTCAAAAATTTTGTCCAAAATAACGAGACCACCAATAAATTTCACGATCATGTAAATTTACTCATGCACATGGAAATATCGAAAAACACACCAAAACAATCTGAACTTATCCGAAACTTTCAGTTATTGATAAGTTGTCAAATATATTATATGATCATTGATGTGTTCAATTAATAAAATGTTTGCAAAGAAAAAGAAGAAGAACAAGATGAACAAGCTTTATTCTTTCATACATATGTGATTTATTTATGTACGAATGCGTTTGTATAGCAATTCAAGAGTAACGTCTTTTTAATTCAAAACGCCATTTGCATCTAACTTTTTGGACAACAATTATTACTTATTTTGGTAAGTTAGGTGTAGTTAAATGTTTTTAACGACACATTTGTTTATAACTATGTTATATCTGTCGGAAAGAGTCTATTAGTCTAAATTTAAAAAGGTAATTTTAATTTCAATATATCATTAAGTTAAGAGATTATCTTGTACTTTGGGAAGGAGATTGTTTAGAACAAGGGGAAGTAATCCAGTAGATGGCGCTTCTCTTATCCATATATACGCAGGAGAAGACGCATTTGATATGCTCGCCCGGTGGCGAGGGTAAATAAACCCAAACACACATTTGAAATCGCTTCTCGACTTGGAAAGCGAAGGTAACACTTCAAGCTATCCAGGAAGATAAACCGTGGGCATAAACGTCCTATAAGTAAATCCCTTAAAAGCTCGGCTTCTTTGGGAATACAAAGATAGGATATAATCATAGGAACTCGAGAACGGGACCGCAGATTGCGGCGCATATTTTCGATCGTGTAACGGTTTTTAAGAACGTTTCTGCTACATCTAAATATCTTTAAGTATTATCCGAGCATATTGCCTCAAACAATATATTATCACTTGAACCCAATCTGTTACTTTTAAAACTGGTCAAATTTTACGGTATTATAAAAAAGAAAAGGAGTGACATCCGCCATTTGCCGCAACGTTCAGCATGAGTTTTCCCCCTTTGGCTACACTTGATTACTATTTTTATTTGTTTGGGTCGTCAGACCAAACAAATAATGGTAGCGAAATTTCAGAGTCTAATGCTGTTAATTGCAAATGCCGAAAGTAGTCCACTTTTTTGAAGCGGTTACTTCCCTTTATATGTACACTAAGGCCGAAAAATTCAGGGGAGATCACTGCGTAAAGATGGTCAAAGACAGGCGCATTAATTTTCAAGCAAAATAATTCCCGAATGGTCGAAGATTTCTAATATTGTTTTATTGTATTTTCTGATAGAAAATAAGTAAATACAAAGCGGACATTCAATCTCTGACACAGAAGTTTACGACAAACCTAACAACAAGTAGTTCTCAAAACAGCTTAAAACTAGCGATTTAAAAGAAAGAAATATTTTTATTTTGTTACAAGTATCCAACAAATTACAACGTATTCAAAGTTTAAAAATAGCGTTGGCTTATAGAATTGTCAATAAATGCACAATCACAAATTACGCGGATGAATATGATTTTATCAATGAAAATACTATTTTTAGCGATGTCGATTACCGAATACTACACAAACCGAGTAGTGGAATATATAGATTCTACATGTCGGACTGTTTAGGTGAGAAGATTTTCGCTAAATTATTTACTTCAATTTTAAACAACAGGTTTATCGTGAATAAAATACCTTGAAATTAATAAGGATTACAAACCCGAAATGCAATGGAAGTTCTAAATTTAGAATGACGTGATGTTATTCAGCCCTTGTTTGTATGATTTCTCCGTGGTGCAGGGGTAACGCGCTCGCTAAGTGAGTGAGAGGTTTGGAGTTCAAATCCCAGTCGAGGAAACTTTTTTTTTTAATTCTTTTTTAAGTGTCTTTGTTAAGGAAGTAGCCATGATATGTAATGGATACAGTACGAGTTTTTCTTCAAAAGTGTCTTCTTACAGACGTAAGAAGACAGTTTGCTAGGATAAACAACAAATTGTCCGACATTGGATTGAATATCAGTGTTGCAATTAGTCTTATAGCCAATTTACTACAATTAAAACGATGGAAAGCATTGGTGGCACTATACATATAATCTCACAACCTGTACCTGTCTTACATTCTGAGACCCAAACAAATTCAGCGCCTTCTGTGCTTTGATTTCAGAATTTTGTTTTCGTTATCGTTGTCAACTATCAGGTATCGTAACGGTTTAATGTTTACACGTGTTGACATGCACTAGTGTTTGACATGTATAGTCGGCATTATAACGGGCGTATTCGTGATATGATTTGTTTACATGGAGAAAACAGACACTTTAGTAATATGGTCTAATAGATTTTGCCTAACTGAAAAAAAGGAATATTAAAACATGATCCATAGATAAATATTCAAGGCACTCATCTGGTATTCCTTGTTAGGAAATGTGAAAGTTTCCCATGTATTGAGTGACATAAAGAGAGTACTAGAAAAATTAAAACAAAAATCAAGCATATCAAGAGGGATAACTTACGCCGAACGTTGAATGCGGATGTCACTCCTTTTCTTTTTTCAATATACCGTAAACTTGACTGATTTTATAAATTAGCAGATTATATTAAATTGAGATAAGATAATTAAAGACCATCCGCTCGTATAATATAAAAAGATATTCAAAGGTCGGACAAACAATATGTAAAGCTGGTACGGATTCGGATTTATGCGCCGCAATATGCGGTCCTGTTCCAGAGTTCCTATGGATATAATTGATCTAGCTGCTGAACGTCGACTAAAGAGATACGTCCTATTTATCATAGAAGCTCAGCGTCTTTGATATTGGATGAACATCAGTTGTATATATTATTTTGGTGAGGTGAACGATCACCAATCGATATAGAAGCCCAGCTTCTATATGATGTTGGATGACTATAAGCTGTAAATATCGTGTGCTTTTCATCAAGTGTTTTTGTTAAGTAGTTATTATATAGTTTGTTCACCATATAATCAGTAATCATTACTTTGTCCAATCAATCAATGGTAAGGTAACCATAAGAAAAATTATATGTATATGATAAACTGTAAATAAGTAGTTGAAGGCAATTCTCAGTTAAATAGTCTTATAATCAAAAGCCCGCTCGGATATCACAATATACAATTGACAAAGCCATTATAGCTCATAGTCACATTTTTGGTACAATGTATATACACATATGAATTGATATTAGCATTAGTCAACAATAAATTTGTCAATAAAATAAACAAAGTATATGTAAAAATAGTAAGATGCGAAAAATAACTACTCTTACAAGTTTTGAAAGCATTTTACTCGTACTTGCTTCCCTTGCATTTCAAAATATCTAATACAAACTAAAAAAAAGAATACTCGGCCAAAGTAAAACTGGTTAACTTACATGTAGTATTACTTATAATAGTTCTTAGATTTCCATGCAAAGTTATATAGAAATGTTAGCATAGCTTGCATAACAATGACATAATAATTTCTTGTAGGGTTATTTGATCTTGAAAATATGGAACACTTTAAGATGAACGTGTTTCTAAACAAATCTATCGTGTTCTGGTAAGTGAACTCAATTTCTAACACCGATATCTACCCATTTGGTAAGGTAGTTTTTTATATAAATATTTAATTAATATGCAAAAATGTATAAAAATTATAAGCATTATATCATTTGAACACATCAGCTATCATATAATATATAAGATACTTATTGAACATCATAAAGTAAGGGTACCTGATAAGTTATGATGTTATTCTCGTTATTTTAGTCAAAATTTAAAACTCAGATCTTGTATAAAATGCACTGAGTAAGTTCCTACGTATAATAAACTGTTCAGTAGAAAATATAATGAGAGCTGAATGCAAGAAGTATTGTTAAACAGAAAGTTAATATCTGAGCAATTAAATTAGAAAGTTAAAGAACTATCCTGCAATTTTATTTTAGAACTATCCTTTACATTTTATTTCATAATGGCAATAACTATCCTTTAAAGTCTAGTTTAGAATGGCCAATGAGATTCGCAGATTTCATTTTGTATTTTAAAAATGACCAATGAAAACTCTTCTTATATTCAGTTCTTCCTTGTAAATTATACATGAAGTCAAACTGAAAACAGACCGGCATTCGCCGAAACTAGACAAAACGAATAGTCGGGTTCTAAATATTATATCTACATCTTCTTATCTCAAATGCTACAGATAATTGCTTTTATTACCTTAACATTTTCTGATGAAAACAATTCTATCGTTTTAAACATGCTTGGTCGAACTCTGTAGTATCTATCTATATATTTATCTTTATTTGAGTCATGCAGATTACACTAAAAAGGAAATGAAATTCATCTTCCAATTGATTACAAAATATACAAAGTCTATTTTCTCTCACAGTTATATTCCACCGGCCACATACTATATTTAACTCTTAATTAATCTACATAATGCTTTTCTATATTTTCTATATTTTCTACATGAAGGTTTATAAAAGTAGCTCTAGGTGAGATATCAGTCCTACTTTGCCATCCTTTAACAAAAACATACCTTATTCTTTGCTTAAGAACACCTACAAATATGTGAAAATCTACTCC